GTCATTTTATTTCTGTGACCGCAGTCACAGAAGAGCAGCATTTATTTGAAATATAAATCTTTTGTAACATTATAAATGCCTTAATGGTCATTTTTGGTTAATTTAATGCTACCTTGCTAACAAATGGTAGATTTGTCTATATATACAGTATATATCATTTATTTATAATCATTTTTATATATATAATTTTGTGAAGTAAACATCTACAGATGGTGTATATGGACCCTGTTTATGTGTGTGGGGTTAATTTTGCAGGGTTTTTCATTATTTGATAAGTGTAGCTTAGAGATATGATTTGTATGCATCTATGATTATGTGTACGCTTATGTTTGTATGTTTCTGTGGTTATGAAATTGTTTGCATACTAGTTCAGCTATAGCCACGGGCATTTCATTGTGTACTTGTGCTTTAATCTCATTTGCGTCATGTGACACTGTACTGTCACATGGGAGCGTCTCACATCATGACTCAAGACGACAGGCTGGCCATGAATATGTATACCCTCAAGACAGACCTGGCTCAAATGTGCCATTACAGTCTTCCCTCAGGCCCACTAGTGTCCAGAGCACACATTTAACGCGATAAACAACGTAATGGTACAAAAGAAGACACGTGCGTAATCAAGTGCATGACCTTGCTATTCATTGCCTTTGGAGCGAACCTGAAAATACGTCATATCGTCGTCATTATATGACTTGGCATGTGGATTTGTGGAACTGGAATCTTCTGTACTGTACTAAATTATTGCGTGACAATGAGAACATCCTGCTTTTCTGGTTTTCCCCATGATTGACAAGTCATTATATTAGATTAAAATGAAGATGTCCTATTTCGGTCAGTGTGGGAACGTCATTCAGACATGTCAGGCCACAATAACGTTTGTCTGCACTTCTGCCCACGTGACTTAACTGTATCATGATTATGTGACTGTGCCTTAGACAGATACAGTGCAGATTTTACAGTTGCAGTGAAAGATAATAAACAGTGGCCTGTATTATAGGCAGACTTACACTACCGTTTAAGAAATGAATTCTTCTATTCAGCAAGGATGCATTTAATTGATTGACCGTAAAGATCTTTGCATTGATACAAATGATTTATGTTTCAAATAAATGCTCTTATTTTGAACTTTCTGTTCATAAGAGAATCCTGAGAAAATGTATCACAGTTTCACAAATGTATAACAAATCAGCATATTAGAATGATTTCTGAAGGATCATGTGACACTGAGGACTGGAGTAATGATGCTGAAAATTCAGCTTTGCATCACAGGAAATAAATTACATTTTAAAATCTACAAAACTAAAAAAAAATATGTATTATTTAAATAATAGTTTTATGAACAATAGTAATAGGAATGTTGGCAAGAAGTACACAAATAATTGTAATTTTTTTATTTTTTTTTAAACAATATATTTTTACAATAATACTGTTTTACTGTATTTTCGATCAAATAAAAGCTGCCTTCGTGAAACATTATAAAAGTATTATTTTTAATGTAAATTAAAAATAATAAATTAAAATTACCATTATTTTTGTACTTCTTGCCAAAATTCCTTTTAATATGGTTCATAACTGCTGTTAAAGCTAAAACAAAAAACTAAAAGTGAATCAAAAAATAGCTAAAAAAAAAAAAATTCTATCTTTTCATTTTGGCCATCCAGCAAATACCCTAGTAACTACAGAAAATGAAAACTGAAAAAGTGTTTTGAACGGAAGATTTATTTTTGTTTTCCTCTCTCCTCAGGCTCCGATTGCCGTGCGAATGGCTAAAGTAGCCATGAATCGAGGCACTGAGGTGGACATCTCTTCAGGAATGGCTATTGAGGGAATTAATGTGTTACGCCAGGGTGAGTGTCATACATAAACCATATGAATAAAATCTGCACAATTTCATTTGTTGTAGTATTTTGTGTGCTTGGCTTGACTGAATGTTTTGTGGTTTCTCAGCTCATTCCTACACGGGACAGACAAGAGGGCATGGCTGCGTTTATAGAAAAGAGGCCTCCAAGGTACATTGGAGAGTGAAAGTTTATATCTGCAAAACACGTTTCAAATCCACATGGTACTAGTACAAACATTCTGAACATGCTGTACTTGCGTTACTACATTGTACCCAGTGTTGGGTTTCAATTTCCTTTGAAATCTGAGCTTTGCAATGTGTAAAAATAACTGCCACAAATAATTTAAAAAGGACTTTGTCATGTTCGTCTTTTTTTTTTTCTGGATAGACCATTATTTTTAATATAGACATGAAAGTGCACTATTCAGACTTAAATTGTTATAATTTATGAACGCTTTTGAATACAGACCTAAGGTTGATCTCTTTTTAAATAAGACAATCAGTAGATTATTGCAGAAGTGAAATTTAAAAAAAAAATGAAAAAGCATGAAAGAATTCAAGCATAAAAAGTCATAGAAGTTTAAATTTACTGTAAAGAAAATGTACTGTACTATTTTTATTTTATTTTATATAAAGTAAATATTTTACAAAATAGGTTTTAATCCAAATTTGATATGAAATTAAAGCCATATGTCTGAATGAGTTATGTTCCAAATTTGAAGTTGATATTAAAAAAATTGAGGTTCCTATGTAATTTTGTTTAGGTGTTATACCACAAACAGCCACCGGGTGCCATCCAAACTCCATTGATTTTTTTTAAATGAATTTTTCTGTCACAAATGTATTAATGTCTCTCTCAGTATTAATTCTATCACAAAATAACCACCAAATGAAATTTTGAGACTCAGACCTTTCCGGCGATATGTATTTTGTCAAGATTATAAAAAGTTTTGATTCCAAAAGACCGTAATATATTTTGTAATATGACACCCCCGCACTAAGGGGGAGGAGCCTGCTAAAAGATATTAAAGTACCATTTCTATGGTAACGCAATGTCTGATTTCAAAACGGTTTTCATAGGATGAATTTTGAGGTTTTAAGCTTTCTTTATGATGATTACTAAAACATGTGATAGGGAAAAAAGCAAACGAAAAATATTTTTTTGTGACAAAGGTCAGAACTCCTTACAGGTGCATCTCAATAAATTAGAATGTCGTGGAAAAGTTCTTTATTGAGATGCACCTGTATGTTTTGAGGTGCACTCTTGTCATAAATTAATCTATTACTGTTCCTACATAATTTTTAACAACAGTGGTAAAATATCTATTTAGGAGTCTTAGACCTTTCAAAAGATACATAGTTTGCCATGATTAGATTAGGATTTAATCATCATATATTGAAGTAAACTTAGTGACAGTTAAGGGGTTACAAATTAAATAAAAGCATTCTAGAAATAAAAAGCAAACTGAAAAACAAAGTACAATTTTGAGCTAGGATATTCTTCAAATTTTAAGGATACTTTAATTTGAAAAAAATACTTTAAAATTAATGTATTAATAAAGATTAACAGCAGACCGAAGCAGCAGGGGTTTTACATTCTTTATTCCCCAAACATAATTTGCATAACTGTGAATCTGAGCAGCAGTATGACACTAGTTTACTCTTGTTTTGCTGCTCAATCCACATTCTGAGTGAGGAAGAGAACAGTAGTGTGGCACAGAACCGAAATCTGTCATGGAGGGCCACATACATGCCTAGGGTCTCCACGCTCGGCCTGTAGAGTTCAGTGAACTAATTTGGTCCATTTATACACCATTTAACGCCAATATTTGTTAATGTCGAAGCTGAATCCAAAAACGGACATTGTTGTGATGTATTTCAGGTGTATAAACCTGGCCTAAGTTGCCAAACAAAATTTGAATTACAGTACAAATTATAACAAATACTTATATTTCATGCCATCTGCAAGAACAGCTGCATGCCACAATAAGATTTTCTGGAACAAAGCACATTTCCTGGAGCATCTATCTCATCATAAAACATGGCCCAGTTACGAACAGAAAACCAAATACATGCTGCAAAAAAAGAAGCATACACATCCAGGGAATTGAAACATTTATATACAAAAAAAGCTTCGTTAGATCACTGAAACAAATGGAGTATCATTTTTTTTAATTGCAACTTCAAACAAGACAAGTTGAACCTGCTGTTTAACAGCTTCATTGGCGTTAAATTAAATCAAACTTTAAGTTCAATGCAAGCATGTTTCGCAAAAAAGCAAATCCAATGACTTTTGGCAAATCACCAGCGCTCCAAAGATGCCACGATCAGAACAAAAATTTCCTCTTGACTTTTTTTACAAGGTGCTTGTACCTTTTTTACAAGGTTTACGAGGCAACAATCCATTTATTGACATATTCCTGCAAAGGCAAAAGCTTTGATTTTAATAATCTCCACCAGTTTCGTTTGCTTCTGAAGAGCTCCGGGTTCTTGAGGAATCTTTCGTCTGAGCTTACATGATGTTCAGTCCACTTAGTACTATTTTTGGAAACAAACTCAAATCTGGATCATAATACTTTGCGTGCAACACCACACCATAAACATTGTCATCTGCCACCGTTTTTATACAGTCTATAAAAATAGATTTCATCCCTAAAGCTCTCATGCTGTTCAGTGTTGACAAGCGGTTGTCTCACGTTTGTACACACAGATCACACACTTTTTTTTTTCCCTCTCTCACACATGCAGTTTAACATATTCCACACTGAACGTTACTAAACAATTCATGTATTTCCATGTAACACAACTGTATCTGTTGTGTCTTTATATTAATGCATTTTATGCCCAACAGGACAGAAATCTGTCAAATAAATGAAATTTCCTAAGGAGCTGCATCCAAAATCTGAATATGCATACGTAGCAATCTGATGCACATGCTCTTAATACACACATGCACAAACATATAAACTCTCACATACGTCCCACGTTTTAACATAAACACTCTCTGAGCTGCTGCCCGTCTAAATAAACATTTCCTCAGATCACGGAGACTTATTTCTTGTCAAATAAATAACGGATTCCGTCGTGAGCAGCAGAGCGTCATTGTCATACGGGCACGAGTGAACACATACACATACAAAAAGCTTCCGGTTTTTTGTGGTGTCCTATCCAGAGACCACTGATCTTGTCATGGAACGTTTTTCTCTGGAAAACAAAGAGAAATATGGAATAAAAAAAAAATGTACAAATGAAAAGAAACCGTTCTGTCATTTCAAAACCGTTTGACTTTGGATCTTCTGTGGACACGTACCTCTATGCGTGTGTATTTTGGGCGGTCCTGTGTATCCTGTGCGCGCCTTGTGGCGATGCAAACTGTCAAGGATGCTTTCAGCCAATCGCAGCACGTCGCTGTGGGTTTTGGGATGTGACCTCACGGCCTCTAGCTGCTGCAGTCCTCCCTCCTCCAGTAACATGCTGCAGTACCGGCCTGCTGCATTCATGAAGGCAGAAAGGGAAAATAAAATGAAGAACACAGAAAGTCTCTGGGCTTTGGAGCGTTGGGTTTATGGTGCTGATCTCACCATTTTTGCTGCAGACGTGCTGCATGGCCCATGCGGCCCACAGCTGGACTCCTGGGGTCTGGAAGCACTCCAGTAAAGGGAAGAAAGGGTTGAACGACCTGAAAAAGACACACAGAGATGTACACTAAACACTTGATCTCTTTATAATACTATAAATCAATTTAATTCTAGTGCATAATAGAAGAGAGCTTGAAAGGGGTCTGCACAAGCATTAAACAGAAAAAAATGGAAAAAATAAATAGAAATAATAATTAAAAAATAAAACAAAATAAATAAAAAAGGGAAAAGGCACATATAATTAAAAATTCAGTTTAAGAAACTAAAATTAAATTAGGAAATTAAAATGAAAACTGAACATAATTATTGTCATTAATATTGTCATTATTGACATTATTGTCCATAATTCAAATATTAATACTGTAATAGTATATTTAAAATACAAAAACAACACTGCTCAACACAGTCAGTGCTGTCAATGTTTTAGTTAATAACTTCATTTAGGATAAGCAAACGTCTTGTTACCTTGTTGCCATTTTTGTATTATCAATGGACATTTTATGCATTTTACAAATTTAACAGCATATATTAAATGTTTATTCAATGTTTATTGATAAAAATCTGTACCTTAAATTTTATTTAGACATTTAGTCGCACTGTAAGTAGTAACATATTTTGTTGTACATTTAAGTACAAATTTTGCATGACATAAAATAAATAGAAAAATAGTATTGCATTATTCAATTCATTCCTGTGGTTCAAGTAACATTTACTTAATGTTGTCTTTAACTGACTTTTCACTGAAAAAATAAAATAAAATAACATTTATCTTATAATATATTTTTAGATATTTTTTAAAATAAATTTCAAGCCCAACACAAGCTTGAGGATATAAGAGCCCTATGAAATCCATTTTATTTTTAATTCTGTGTTTTCAGTTTGAATTTTTTAGGATGCTATTTTAATGGTTTAAATACATTTTAAAATGAAAAAGTACGTCTAATCAACTGAATTCAAAACTTTAATAATTGATTGAAATTTTAACAGTAATAGTGCTCTATAAAAACATGACCAAAACCTTGCTCGACCCGAGACCAGACCTGGCAAACTCTGTTGTTGAGTAGCAGACCCCTTTAGTGAAGCATGTTTTTCATGATGTGGTTTTGTCATTTCTCACCTGTACGCTACCATCTCACATTCCGGCGATGGCCACTTCAGAATCGCCGAATGCTGCGTAATAAAAGATACATAATGATTAAACTATTTACTCAGGCCTCTGGTGCAATAATACCCAAACAAATACCCAATTTGTGCAAGCACGCACCAGTTGCTCTAGCAGTGTGTTCCTGAGTGACAGGTCGAGGGTCCACACCTTCTCGCCCCGTGAGGTGAGGTGGGCCAAGATGCCTGCGGCAAAATAACTGACCTCCACCTCTGGACTGTGCAGCAGAGAGCGAATGTGATCCAGAAAACTTTGAACCATCAGCTCACCGTGCAACTCCCCCACCTCGGCGATATTATTCTGAATACAAGCGAAACAAACACATTCAGAACTAGACAAGATAGAGAAAGGAAAATAGCACAGGGGACCACAGCTCCAAAAATACAACTGAATGCAAAGTGAAACAGTCTCATTATACTTTCTAACTAAGGGAAACTATTTGCATAATCCCTCAGCACGGCTTCCTTTGACACGAGAAGGCATTTTATCAGTGCTGCCCACAGCTCCAGAATCACTTACCTCAATTCAATTTCACCAGAGCAAAACACTGCAATACGTATTTCCCTCTCCAGTGCATATGCAGCACAGAATTGCTGGAGGCTTGATACAAAAAAATGCTTCTATTTGATGTTATATATGCTTCTAAAAAATAATATGCACGCACACATGCAACACATGCACATGTTCAAAAGTTTGGGGATTTTAAAAGTCGTCACTTATGCTCACCAAGGCTACATATAATTGATCAAAAAATAACAGTAATATTGTGAAATATTATTACAATTTAAAATAACTGTTTTATATTTAAATATATTTTAAAATGTCATGTATTCCTGTGATGGCAAAGCTGAATTTTCAGCAGCATTACTCCAGTCTTCAGTGTCACATGATCATTCAGAAATCATTTTAATAGGCTGATTTGCTGCTCAAGAAACATTTATGATTATTATCAGTTGAAAACGGTTGTGCTGCTTCATATTTTTTTGTGGAAAGTGTGATACATTTTTTGTTCACAAATTCTTTGATGAGTAGAAAGTTCAATAGAACAGCATTTATTTGAAATAGAATTTTTAAGGAAAGTCTGTCACTTTTGGTCAATTTAATGAATCCTTGCTGAATAAAAGTTTTAATTTCTTAAAAAAAAATTGTGAAAATAAATAGTGATCATGCGATTTTATATATATATATATATATATATATATATATATAATTTATGTGCTACAACAAAAATGCTAGAATTAAAACTAATTAAAATAACATTTCTCAATGTGAAGTTTTGACCCCCCCCCACTGTTTCTTACCAGTAAACCCAGGATCTTCTGTTGAATGGATGACTCTGATGGAAAGGACTTGAAAAACAGAGATATTTTCAGATGAGAACTTCAAGGCAGGTTTTTAACAAAGTACAGTTATGTTTTTCCAAAAATTCTATAAAAAGGTTTGAAGCTCCAGTCTTCAGTGTCACATGATCATTCAGAAATCATTTTAATAGGCTGATTTGCTGCTCAAGAAACATTTATGATTATTATCAGTTGAAAACGGTTGTGCTGCTTCATATTTTTTTGTGGAAAGTGTGATACATTTTTTGTTCACAAATTCTTTGATGAGTAGAAAGTTCAATAGAACAGCATTTATTTGAAATAGAATTTTTAAGGAAAGTCTGTCACTTTTGGTCAATTTAATGAATCCTTGCTGAATAAAAGTTTTAATTTCTTAAAAAAAAATTGTGAAAATAAATAGTG